TGGGCTCTCTAGTCTTTTCCATTAATTTATGTGTCTTTTTAAATTCTGATACCATACTGTTTTGACTACTGTAACTTTATAATATAGTTTTAAATCAGAGCATGTCATTCTTTTAGCTTTGTTTTTCTTAAGGTTTTTTGTTTTGTTTTGTTTTGTTTTGTTTTGTTTTTGACTATTTTGGGTCTGGTGTGGCTCCACACAATTTTAAAAATATTTGTTCTATATATTTCTTTGAAAAATATTGTAATTTTGAAAGGGATTGTATTGAATGTGTAGATTACTTTTGGTAATATGGACATTTTAACAATGTTAATTCTCCCAATCCGTGAACACAGAATATCTTTCCTTTTTTTTTACATCTTCTCCAATGTCTTTCACCAGTGTCTTAGAGTTTTTAGGTACAGGCCTTTCACCTCCTTGGTTAAATTTATCACTAGGTATTTTATTCTTTCTGATGCAGTTGTCAATTGTGTTGTTTTCTTAATTTCTCTTTCTGGTAGTTTGTTTTTATTGTATAAAAACACAACAGATTTTTATATGTTAATTTTTTATCCTGCAACTTGACTGAATTTGTTTACTAATCCTAACAGGTTTTGGTGGAATCCTGGGTTTTTCTATATATAATAATATGTGATCTGCAAATGAAGACAGTTTTACTTCTTTCTTTCCAACTCAGATGCCTTTTATTTATTTTTCTTGCCTTATTATTCTGACTAGGACTTCCAATATATATTTAATAAAACTGGTGAAACTGGGCATCCTTGTGTTGTTCCTGATCTTAGAAAAAAAGCTCCCAGCTTTTCACCATTACGTATGATGTCAGCTGTGAGTTTGTTGTAAATGGCCTTTATTATGTTGGGGTATGTTCCCTCCATATTTGCTTTGTTGAGAGTTTTTATCAAAAATGGGTGATGAATTTTATAAAATGCTTTTTCTACAGCTGAGTTAATCATATGATTTTATTCTTAATTTTGTTAATGTGTATCACCTTGATCAACTTATGGATGTTGAACCATCCTTGCATCCTTGGAATAAATGCCACCTGATCATGGTGTATGATCTTTTAATGTATTGTTGAATTTGGTTTAATAATATTTTGTTGAGTATTTTTGCATCTATGTCCTTCAGGGATATTGGCCTGTAATTTTCTTTTCTTTTGGTGTCCTTCTGTGATTTTGGTGTCAGGGTTTGGGAAATGTCTTATTCATCGTTGTAACCCTAATGGCTGGCACATAATAGGAAACTAGTGAACAATTTGAGGTGACACAAATTCAATTTTGAACAAGCAGGAATTTGCTAGTTCAAGAAATTAGAAGAAAAATGGGAATTCCAGGCAGAGCACATTCAAAGGTATAAAGACATGAAAGAGCAAAATCAGTTTGGGAAGATGTAGGTAATCTAAGAAGGCCAGAAGAAAGAAGGCATGCCTGGGATGTGGTATCAGAAAATTAACAGAGGTAGGATTAGGAAAGGCCTTATATGCCTAGCAAAAAAATTGAGCTGTATCTGAAAACACTGAGGAAGCCAAGTTGAAGGATTTTAAACTGTGATGTATATGACGAGAGTTGTGTTTTTAATCAGATTTGTCTAACAGCTAGGTAAACGGTGGATTAGAGGGTCCCAGAGCAAACGTAGGAACTGTGAAGAAGTCACTTTAATGAGTGAGGAGGACTTGAAGGCAGTGGCATTTGTGTGAAGAAGGTGCAGGCTCATGGGTTTCTTAAGACTTAAGACCAGTAAGATGTGGCTACTGACAGGCTATGGGCCCAGAAAAATGGAAAATGGTTTTAACTGTAATTCCCCTTTAGCCACCTCCCAATCCGTTTTCACTCAGTTACCCTCATGTCCTCAACACTGACCTGCCATTGATGGATGATGAATAATAATCAACAGATGCACTGCATCTATTTCTCATTAAAAGAAAAATAAAATCCAAATGTTAATGCTGGAAGGGGCCTTGGAGATCACTGAAACCAACTCCTACTCTGATAAATGATTGAACCAAGGGAAAAAGAAAAAAGACTTTTCTATGGTAACTCTGAAAATCAGTGACTGGATATTGGGTCACCCTTTACTGAACGATCTGTTTAGTAATTCTCCATATAGTACTTATCTATAATATTTTAATGTGTATTTGCTTATTTTCTGCCTACCCCTGACATTAAAATGTCATATTAAAGAGCAGAGTCCTGTCCTGACCTGTGTGGCTCAGTTGGTTGGTTGGTGTCCTTCAAAGTAAAAGATCGCTGATTTGATTCATGGTGGGGGCCAATGCCAGAGTCGCAGGTTCCGTCCTCGTTCAAGGGGCAACTGACTGATGTTCCTCTCTCACATAAAAGTTTCTCATCCTCTCTTTCTCCCTCCCTTTCCCTCTCTCTAAAAATAAATAAACAAACAAACAAACAGATAACAGAGCTCTTGACTGTCTGAAACAATCTTTCACCCATATAGTAAATAATTAATGAGCATTTGTTAAAAAATAGAATGAGCCAAATATAATTAAGTTTGCTCCCTCTTATAACAATGACTTTTATACAGGACCTGGGCCATGAGGTAATCAATCCATAATTCTATTTCTTGCCAGAATTTTATCTAATCATCCCTACAGAGACTAAAATTTACCAAGTAATAACATTGTAGTTCATGTGGCTTCAGATGGTGAAGAGCTAACAATAATCATCATTATATTTCTTTTAAAATATTAACCACTGACCACTTCACACCTATTAGGATGGCTACTATCAAACAAACAAACAAACAAAATGTTGCAAGAATGTAGAAAAATTGGAGCAAAAGTTCCAGTTAGGAATATAAAATGGTACAGTTACTGTGGAAAATGGAATGGTGGTTTTTCAAAAAATTAAAAACAGAATGATCCAGCAATTCCACTTCTGAGTATACACCGAAAAGAATCGAAAACAAGGTCTCAAAAGAGATATTTTTTACACCCATGTTCAGAGCAGCATTATTCACAGTAACTGAAATGTGGAAGCAACCCAAGTACCCACCAATGGATGAATGAATAAACAAAATGTGGTATACACATGTTTTGACTATTATTCAACCTTAAAAAGGAAGGAAATTTTGCAATACACCATAACATAGATGAACCTTGAGGATGATATGCTAACTAAAATAAGTCAGTCACAAAAAGACAAGGACATATGATTCCATATACATGAGGCACCTGGAGTAGTTAAGTTTACAGACAGAAAGTAGAATGGTTGTTGCCAGGGGCTGGGGGAAGGGGGAATAGGGAGTTGTTATTTAATGAGTATAGAGCTCCAGTTTTGCAAGATGAAGAAAGTTCTGGACATTCACAACAATGTAAATTCGCTTAACAATCCTGAATTGATTAAGGTGGTAAATTTTAAGCTATGTGTATTTTGTCACAATTTTAAAAACATTAACCACTGAAGTATGTACAAATACTATCTCATTTGGTCCTTATTATAACCCTGAACTGTTAGTACAACAGTCCCATTTCATAGTGAGGAAAATAAGGTTCAGAGAAGTGAATTGTCTAAGACACATGACTAAAAAATAGAAAAGCTGAGCTTCATATGTATGTCTCTTAGTTCCATGCTCAGTGCTGGTGTCTACCACATAGCGACACCTGCTTTATGTTTCTTCTTCAATTTCCTTCCCTTCCTAAATCTTCAGAGAGCAGGCGTGAGTCAACTGTAAGCACAGTACAAAAAGGTCACCCAACATTCACTGGCCAGCAGAATCACAAGTCACTGGCAGGGAGATTATATACACACAATAAAGACTTTGAAGTGATCAGGAGAAGATGGGGGCCCTTACTTTTGAAATGACTCCATTAATTGTCCTTCCACATGTCCTCCTATGAAGACAAAAGATGACAAAATGAACTTAGAAAAATAAACTAGATCTAGTGAAAGAAAGGGGGAGAGGGGCAGTGGGACACGCACCAAGCAGGAGGCAGGCCTAACCCTACACACTTAGCCCACCGATTCACTGGGCAGTCCTGGGCACGCCCCTCCCTCTGCCCCAGCCATTGGCTTGCTATTACTGCCACCATTTTCATATACTAAATTTGAACTGAATTTAGAAGGAAGAACACAGTCTTCCAAGGGGAGTCAAAAACACAAAGAGGATCATCTAGCCTCTTACAAATATCTTTTATTTATCATGTAAAGGGATGGGCACTTAACATAGGGCAACCCTCATCCTTCTACCACTTGGCAATTTATTTTTAAAATGAGACTACACTGCTAATACCAAATTTCCCAAAGTATTTGCCTTGGTGATAAAGAGCAGCATCAGAACTGGAACACAGACTTGTCTAGTTCCAGTTTGCTCTTTTCTCCAGCTTAACAGTGTTAAGTTCAACAGCCAAGTTAGAAAGAGCCATGCAAGCACCAAGGAGACAGGGGAGAACTCAGCTCTACCTGTCATCCCGGGGAATGGGGAAGGTGAGCATTGAAGTTGCCAGAAAGCAGTTGAAGTAGGTGGGGGGTGCATTTTGTGAAGCAAGAGCACCCAAAAACGCAAGCAAGGTCAGGGTGGTGGAGAGTACAAGCTTCTTGGCAAGCTCGTAAGTAACCCTGTTCAGTTAAGGGTAATTGTTGAGCTGTGGCTGGAGATCATGAATTCCCTACCTTGTAAAGTTCATCATGTAGAAATCATAATTCCACCTTGAAGGCTATACAAAGGGGTTTAGAACATGTTCATATAGGCAGGAGGGAGCCATCAAAAAATTGTGTTGAGATTTATCAACAATTGTTAATACTACCTCCTTTATAGGTGTTTTTTATATGTTGTGAAGAAATTTTATATATATATCTGAAGTGTTGTCAAAGAAGATACAATTGTTTTCATTCCATCTCACGAAGACGGCAGCGTTACTGGCTGTCTTGCTCAGGGATGCTCAGCAACGGCGTTGCGCTGGCACGTAGAGCCCCTTGGCATGCGTAGTGAAGTCAGCTAATCATACTGTTTTTTGCTGAAAATAATAACACTTTCTATTTTCCTTTATGCTTTAGGAAAGATTAAGAAACTTCAAAGAACTCCAAGCTAAATTTCAAAAGCTTGATGTGCCATCTCTTCCAGGACCTATTAAGTTCCCAGAAGGTGTTTCTCAAAAGGGGGACATGGGCAGCGCACAGCCAACGATGACTCGGGCCAACGGGAAACTACTCTCGTCCAACCACCATCGGCCGCCATCAGATTGTTCCAGGGGTGAACCCCAGCCTCTCAAACCCCAGAAAATGAAGCTGGCACAGAAAAGTGAGATTTGGAAATATTTTGATTCCTCAGGACCTCCAGGAAGGTCTATTCATTCTGCAGCGAATTCACAGGAGACTTCTCTGCTTTTATACATGAATCAGATAAACCCTAAGATAACCAGTAAGAAGAACTTGGCGGTGACCAGTAGCTTCCGAAACAAGCTCTGGAAATGGGAGAAGGTTTCGTCTCAGAACAGTGAAATGTCATCAGCCTTTCTCCTTGCCGATTGTGGAGACAGGGCTTTCCATCTGGAAGATCAGGAAAGCACAGGGCTTTCTACTCCAAAGGGGCCCAGGGAAAAGCTTCAGATAAACGGGTCCCAGACTCTTCCTTTCCAAGGGCACTTGATGGCCCCCCAAAAATCATGCGTTGCCTCAGAAGATCCCACTTTTCAACTTTCTCCTCATGGAAGGAAGAACCTAGTGAAGTCCCATCCTGAGAGGAGCCCAGCAGGGAGCACCTGCCAGCCTGTCTATGAGAGGGAGCTAGCCAGCTGGCCACTAGGTGAGAAATCTAATCCCAACAGGTGTGGGGGGAGAGCTCACTGTGTTTTTCTAAGTTCAAGCTTGTTGACTTGAGAAGGTCACATATGTGACCTCAGGAATGTTTGCTCTAAACTACAGCACAGGTATTCTAGGACCACCAGCTAAATTGTAATTTCAGGTTTGGGCAAACTGATTAATCTCCTGGAATTAAACTGAGAGACAGTCTGGGCAAACTTTGATTTGAATCTTAGTTCTGCTTCTTACCAGATACATGAATGTGGGCAATCTGCTTAACTTACAGAACCTGGTCTGCTCTCTTAGAAATCAAACTTATCACCAATCTTCACTGTTTTGGTAAATGACATGAGGGTCCTCCTCATTGCTCACACCCAAAACCTAGGAGTCGAGCTCTATTCCTCTCTCCCTGGCTTTCTTTGCTTCCAATCCATCAGCAAGCTTTTGGTTCTACTATGAAACTATGTTCTGTGTTCCTCCACTCTGTCCACTTCTGCCCTCTGCCCATGTCCACACTACAGTCGTCTCTCACCTGGACCACTGCAGTGGCCCTACTGGTCTTTCTGCTTCCACACTCTTGCCCTCTTACAGCCTACCCTCCTCCTAGCAGGCACAGTGACCCACCAAGGACACCTTCCCAGATAAATCTTTGCTAGCCTCTCTAGCTAAAGGCCACTAGCTCACCACCAATAGTTTGCACTCTTTTATTCCATCCTGTTCTACTTTCCTTTAGAGAACTAATAGATCTCTGTAATTATCTTGTTTATTTGTTTACATGTTTATCATCAGTCTTGTCCTATTAGAATGAAAATCCCTGAGGGAAGGCCTCCATCCCCAGTCCCTAGAACCATACTAGGAATATAGTGGATAAACAGTTATTGACGAAGAGATAGGAAGGAAGAGGGGATGAATGGGAGGAAGGGTAAGTGGGAGGAAAGAAGGAAGGATGGATGGATTACCTGCCCTGTGGAATTATTACAAGGATTAAATAACTCATGTAAACAACTGGACGCAGTGCCTGGTAAAAATTAGGGGCCCAATGAGTAAGTGACCATTTGTTTTCACTGTGTCTTCTCCTTAATTTGATACAGACTGAAATTACTGACATTGGGACTTATAATTACAGCCAATGAAGAGAGGAATGTTGGCCCTGCAGGGAGGGCAAGAAGGCAGCCCCCTCCCCACTAGCACAGGACAGCAGGGCTCAGACAAAGTCACACTGGTGTTTTGGGGAAACACAAGCCAACTCCTTTAGTTTTACCATGTAATCAACCACCTTGTTATGTAAACCAAAAATCAAAGCACTTGGATGATATAAGATTTTGTGCTCTGTTAGAAGCAGCAGATATGTTTTCCATATATAATGTTGGAATTTATGTTGGAGTTTGGTTTTTTAGTGCAGAAGGATAAAAATATACAAAACTGGGACTATTCTGAAAAATTTCAGGACACAAAATCCATAGATACCTGGGCACCAGAGTCAGCCTTGAAGCCTGTCCTAGGCTGTGAGTCCCAGAAATTAGAGATTAATGCTCACTCTTCTTTAAAGCACCCTTGTTATTTGCCTGTCATAAGGACCCGAAGAATCCTTTCAGGGAAGCTATATTGTCCATTTCCTCTGAATCAGGCCCTGTACTTGGTGTCAGGAAAAGGTCAACATGGCCTAGTCCCTGCAGGAACCTACATTCACTGAGGAGTTAGACCAGCTGCTCTAAAATGCTACAATACCACTGGAGATGAGTTAACAACGTGCTATGGGGATACCAAACAGAGTTACTGACTCTGATCTTGATTTCCGATAGAAATCAAGAAAGGCTTCCTAGAGGAGGTGTCATTGGAGCAGGGCCTAAAGAAAGAGTTGAAGTTTGGCAAAAGAGAAGTAAGGGAACAGCATCTTAGAACCAGGAATGGACATGAACAAAAATCTTGGATATAAAAGAGCTTTTTAAGGCTTTTAAAGTCAAATGTAGAGAACCGAGAAGCCAGTGGTGTGCGTGAAAGATGTGTGGGCTGCAGGTCAGGGAAGTAGGAGACTAAAGTCCAGTAAGGAAATAATCTGGCAATGTTGGTCGGGGCCCTGTGGTGCGCTGTTCAAATGCCAAAGGAGGGAGTGAACAAATGTCAGGCTGAAGAAACTGGACTTCACCTTCTAGGATGGTGACAAGACAAGGCTTGTGTGTTGATCTGGACACACTGGCTACTAGGTGGAGAATACACTGGAGGGGAGTGAGAATGAGACAAGGAAACTAGCCAGTTTCACCCAACAAACCATGAACTGGAAACAATAAATAACCTACATTTTGGACTATTTGTGCTCAGAAAAACCGCTGGATGTCAAGCAGCACCAACTTCCCAAAACAAAGCCGCTGCCTTCTGTGGAGTCCCTGGGTCCTCCTCCCACAAAGCCACCAAAGCCTCCAGCGGTGAACCTCCAGGCTTTCCAGAGGCAGACAGCTGCTGTTCCCAAGATCCACGAGGGAGGTGAGGAAATGCACGCCAGCACCCCGCCGCCCCCCAACACATGCATACACGCACAGCCAGCTGGGGGAGTCTCGGCTGGCTCTGGTAAGGTTTCCCCCCAGTCACCTCCCTCTCCGCATGAGCTCCCAGGTGACAATGCTGAACTGCTTTTCCATGGGGCTGGACATCCATCACTGCTTGTTCTCACATAGAAGCCATGGCAGCTTGCCCGTGAAATGACAAATCTGCGGGAATTGGCCCCTTATCGCTCCTGAGCCAGCCTGCTTCCCCTGAGAGCATTGCATTTGATCACTGGGAATCCATCCAAGAGGAAGAAAACGAAAAGGAGCAGGGCAGGGAGGCAGAGAGCCTTTGTGTTTCTTACAAAGCCCGTGTTGTCAACACAACCTGTGCAGTAGGGGTGGGGGAGGGAGTGAAAAGGGAGGCAGTCAGTGTGAACTTGACCTGCAATCATGACGGGGGCCCCTCAGGCCTCTGTGATCTGCCTTCAATAATTCATGAAGGACTCCCATCCCTGCCCCCACTGGCCCTTTCTGGGACTGGAAGCATCCTTAGGAGCCATTTCTCTGTGCTGTTATGTGTCTTCCTCTGCTACACAAAGGAGCACTTATGCACTCTACACCCCACCGCAGTTCAATCCTGTTGACATTTTAAACACCTTTGCTTCTGTTTGCTGTAATGAAACATGAGGTAAACATACACTCTGGGGCCGTGTGGACTGCTGGGAGAACATTTGTTTCACTGTGACCATGAGTGTCAGCAGGTGGTCCACTAAGAGAGCTACCTCAAGCTCATTGCTCATTTGACGGCCTTGGACAACCTCGTGGTTGCATTTCTTAAACTCAGTGGTTCTTGAACTTGAGAGTGCATCAGAATCACCTAGAAGACCTATTAAAACACATTGTTGGGCCCCAATCCCAGAGTTTCTGATTCATTAGGCCTGGGTTAGAGGCCTGAGCATTTGCCTCTTTAATAAGTTGTCTGGGGATGTTGATGCTGCTGGCCCAGGGACTACACTTTGAGAACCACTGCTCTAAGTCATCTGACATCTTATCCTACAGTAAAATTTCCTTAGAACTATACTTTCAGGCTATGGCCGCCTCCATATCAGAGAAGGCTAAGTATGATTTTTATAAACATTGAATAATTTAGGTCTCAAACCATCTCTCTGAAAAGGAAGAAGTTTGTCAGAGAACATAGAACAAAATACTAAGTGTTTTGTTATAAAATGGGCTTTGTAAGTCCCAGCTTCCCCACTTACTAGCTATTTAAGTTTGGGCATATTACTCATGGAGCCTCATTGTCCTTGCCTGTAAATGGGGATGATAATAACACTCATCTCCTAGGACTGTTGAGAGGGTAAACAAATGAGATGAGGCATGGAAAGACCTAAAAGTTACTGGCACATGAGTAAGTGCTCAGTAAATGCAATAGTATTATTTCAAGCATGCGTTGAGTAGCTGCACTCCCTTTGCCAGGCCCTGAAATAGAGAGAAGAGACTAAGTGAGAAACCCAACAGACGTTCTGGTATTCCCAGAGGTCAAGGTCGAGTACAGGAGATTGTACTCCTAATTAAGCACCATAAAGTGTGGGTGGAGGCTGCAGTGCAGGACAGATGACCCCGTGGGTGCCGGGGAAGGGGAGGCTTGACGCACAGGTGAATTGCCAACCCATATTTTGTCTCTGGGGTCAGATCACTGCACAAACATAATGAAACATATTTGCTTTAATAAGGCTGCCGCTAACATCTCTTTTTCACTTTCTCTTTTGCTTTCGCAGCAGCTGAGGAGAAGGGCTACCTGCCTCCAGAGAGGTGAGTACTTGTTTTTAAATTGTATAGGAAGATAACCTGCCAACAAGGCCACTGAGCCTACCCAAGAGCTGGCAGCAAGCACAGGCCAGGGGCTGGTATTTCTTCAAAGGGTTGTGGGACGAACAGATTTATAAGCTACAAACTGCAACTCTTGTTTTAGATGAGAGGTTAAATAAACCTCATCTAACAGCCATGCTGACATTAAGTTGCAAAGATGGTCCTCTGAGGTACTTTTATTTATTGTACAGTTGGGTTCAGTAAATTGAAACATCAGCTTCCATCTTAATAAATTGAATTAGAGGCTACAGAATGTTGAGGGCAGCTGGCATGATGTTAGGAACTGGTAATGCTCCTAACAATAGACAGAGGACCTTCTATTTTTGGTGCACTTGTTCTGAGAATTTTACCATGTAAGCATCAGTTCATTAATTCACTCAGCCAGGCCCTGTTGAACCCTGTGATGTGTGTCACGCATTGAACTCGCTACTTGATACAGATTTTCTCATTTCATCTTCGTAAGAAGTCAGTGAAGTTGCTGCCACTGTCTTTATTTTGTAGCTAAAGACATGAGGGCTCAGAAAGTCTGCCATTTGCAGAGCTGTGGTTCTCACTCAGTTATGCCCACACCATTTTTTACTGTGATATAATTGACATATAACATTGTGTAAGTTTGAGGTGCACAACCTGTCGAATTGATACATTTATATTTTGCAATATGATTACTACAGCAACCTAGCTAACACCTTCATCACGTCACATAATTATTTCTTTTTTGTGTGTTGAAAAGAGTTAAGATCTAGTTTCTTAGCAACTTTGAAGTTTATAATAAGTATGTATTTTTTCACTCTAATCACTACATTGTGCATTAGCTCTCCAGAACTTACTGTGTACTAGTTGCAAGTTGACTGGGGTTGCTCCTCCGCCTGGAGTGAGCTTGCCTCTGGCTGATCTAGGATTGCCTTGGCTGGGGCGGCTGGTGCAACCTGCCTTGGCACCATCTGTCTTACCCTCCAGCCAACTAACTCAGGGATGTTCTCCCAGCAGTGGCAGCAGACAAGCCCAGCTGCACAAACATTTTCCAAGCCTCTGCTATACCACATTTGCTAGCATCCTATTGGTCAAAGCAAGTCACATGCCTAACCCTGAGTCACAGTAGGATCCCAGGCACTGAAACTTTACATAACAAAATGCAGGGTTCTAGGAAGGGGTGAAGAATAGAAGCATCAATCCAATCAATCTAGCACTGAAGAGGAAATATTTGACATGAATATTGAGAGTCAACATCTGCTGGATAACATGGGAAGAGGTACCATAGGCAGAGGCAGGAAGTATAAAGTAACACACCTTATGTTGGAAACTAGAAATACAATAGTTCAGTGGAGTTAGAGTATAGAAAGTGTTGTAAGGATTGGAAAGAAACGAGATTGTCGAGGTAGACAGGAACCAACTCGTGGAGGATCTTGTACCCCAAGGAATAGGTAAGACAGTTGTATTTAACAAGGAGCCGACTACGTGATTCATGTGCTCCAGGAATGCTTGGTTAGTGGTTACTGTTACATGACAGCACAAGTAGGTCAGTAGAAATGCATTCTATGTGCATGCATTTGGATAAAGAAAAACAATGGTTTGCATTATTTACTGGATGAACATCATCCCCAGTGAGACAGTGTGAGGGGACAATGGCATTCTCATGAACCTTGAGTCAGTCATGGTTCCCTCGTGCCTCGCATAGTGTGAGCATCTTAGTGTGACTGAGTGTACCATGATCGCAGTGTTTAGGTAGACATGCATTTTTCCTGCCACTTGGCTCTAAACTAAGCTGACTTCTCTCTCACTTTCATCAGAGAAACAGCAATCCATTTCAACCTTGGGCACAAACTTGCTGTGATGGGCAAGTACTGGGAAATCGTAGTCTCTAATGTGACACCTTGTTCCTGAGGGATTTACAAGGGCAATTTGACTGTACTGTTCTTTCGTACTGAGGATAGAACTGAATCTACTCTCATCTGAAATGAGATTCATTTTACCTCAGTTATGACACGACCATAGTGCTGTGAGAGTGAAAGACAGAAGAGATGAAAAGGGACCAGGATTCCTAGGGGCAGCTTCATGGAGGAAGAAAGAACTTGAGGTGTATCCTGTTTGGTGGATTGGAATTAGATAGGTTTTTTGTTGTTGTTGTTCCCTTATTTGAGACTGTAAGACAGGTGAGGACAAGGTATCGTTCTTGGAAGTAACCACATTGTTAACTTATAGTTGGTTAGTGAATGGAATGATAGACAGAGGAATGGATAAAAGGATGGATAGATGGATGAATGGATTGACAAGTGGATGAACCAATGCATATTTACTATAGAGCTAGAACATGATTGAAAGCAAGGCAGTAGTAATAAAGAGGAGTATGTGAAGAGACAAAAATATTCTAATATGGGAAAATAAGAGGTGAGTTTTTGGATCCTAATGTGCAGTGAGTGCCATACTAAGGAATTTGAACTCCATTTTGTCAATGATAAGAAATTAGTTTGAACTCCATAAATGTCTGTGACCCTGCATATCCTCTACTTGCAGGGAGCATAAGGCTGCTGGTCCCCTGCTGGAATCCGCAGACATTGGCCCCATCCTTACTCATCTTTGTGAAAGGGGTGCAGGGCAGGGTAGAGGCAAGCATGTTGCTCCTTCTTGTCAGATTTCTGGGCCCTCATCTATTTCATTATTTGAGCCCAGGTAACAACATATTTTGGCCACCCATGACTCCCTCTGCTTTGGCCATGGAGAGGGATCAGATACTTGACTCTTCATTTGGGGAACTCCCCTTCCCTCCACTCTATATCACTGGCAAATGTTCATTGCTCTTGAACTGAGGAAGTAACATTGCCATAACTGATAAATAAGCAGTTGTAAAATCAACAAATTTAACCATGTGATTTCAATGCTTTTAAATGTGTGAGAATCATCTATGAATTTCTACCTTTCTATGGATAGTGTTTCCTTTAAATTTTCTCTCTCTGCTGGAGATTGGACAAAACATTGCTGTTCCTAAAGTATATTTTGCTAAAAATCTTCCATTATTACCCAGCTTTCCAAATTCATTGGCAATTAGTTATGCAAAAAATGTCCAGTTGTTTCTATGTTAGTCCTATAGTCCAAAATAAATTGTTGTCATGTTCTTCCTTTAAAAAAAAGAAATTGGTTTGAACTAGTAAATGCCATAATGCTGAGCAACCTTGGATACAACTTCCATGGAAACTGGTGCTTGTTTGGGAAGAACATTTCCACATTTATGGTATTAATCTTCAATACAGACATTGTGTTAGGAATTGGGTAGGCAGGGTCTCATTGCTGGGAGGGGACCCAACAACTATCTGATGTAGCCAAGCCGTACAGCATAATGTTAACAGAAACCTGGATTTCTAATTCATGCCTTACCACTTAATATCTCTGTAACCTTGGACAAATGACTTAACTTCTACAAACCTCAGTTTCTACATATGTAAAATGGGATGTTGGGAATACTTAACTCATACAGTTGTGATGAAGATTAGATGAAATCATGATTGCAAAGGGTTTAGTGTAGCACCTAACATATAGAGTGTTCAATAAACCTCACTTAGAATTTATATAACCTTCCACCAAAGGCAAGAATTCAGGCTCAGAACCTTAGTCTCTTTAAAAATCCTCTGATAGGGAGCTCATTACCTGGAGAGTTCAGTGTTTTTATTTGTTAGGGCAGATTTTTTTTCATTTAACACATATTTATTGAACATCTACTATATTTCAAATCCTTATATATTGTACATTGAGGATACAGCAGTGTATAAAGGAGGGAAAAATACTTTACATGTACTCACACACATATGCACACACACATTTGTTTGTTTATTCAAAACTCCTTCAAGCTGAGCTGGGAAAAAGAAAAGATCGCCTTCCTACCTCAGGCTCACAACCGCCTGGCCAAGATCAACTCATTGGTACAATGAACACTATCTTTACCCTTCTTTACATGACAATTCTTAAAACATCTAAGGACTATATTCTTCTTTGAACTAAAACACATCTTTGTAATTGTTATTCTTTTTTTTGGTCTTATTTATTTATTAATATATATTTTATTGATTATACTATTACAGTTGTCCCATTTTTCTCTCCCCTTTATTTCCCTCCACCCTGCACCACCTCACCCCCCAGCATTCCTCCTCACCCTTAGTTCATGTCCATGGGTTGTACATTTAAGTTCTTTGGCTTCTCCATTTCCTAAACTATTCTTAACCTCCCCCTGCCTATTTTGTACCTAGTATTTATGCTGCTTTTTCCCTGTACCTTTTCCCCCATTCCCTTCCCCTCTCTTTTACAGTTCATAGTTTTGATCTTCTTTTTCTTAGATAAGTCCCTTTAACGTTTCATATAATAAGGGCTTGGTGATGATGAACTCCTTTAGCTTTACCTTATCTAGGAAGCACTTTGTCTGCCCTTCCATTTTAAATGATAGCTTTGCTGGATAGAGTAATCTTGGTTGTAGGTCCTTGCCTTTCATGACTTTGAATACTTCTTTCCAGCCCCTTCTTGCCTGTAAGGTTTCTTTGGAGAAATCAGCTGATAGTCTTATGGGAACTCCTTTGTAGGTAACTGTGTCTTTTTCTCTTGCTGCTTTTAAGATTCTCTCCTTATCTTTAATCTTGGGTAATTTAATTATGATGTGCCTTGGTGTGTGCTTTCTCGGGTCCAACTTCTTTGGGACTCTCTGAGCTTCCTGGACTTCCTGGAAGTCTCTTTCCTTGGCCAGATTGGGGAAGTTCTCCATTATTTTTTCAAATAAGTTTTCAATTTCTTGCTCTTCCTCTTCTCCTTCTGGCACCCCTATGATTCGGATGTTGGAATGTTTAAAGTTGTCCTAGAGGTTCCTAAGCCTCCCTTTATTTTTTTGAATTCTTGTTTCTTCCTTCTGTTCTGGTTGAATGTTTATCTCTTCCCTCTGCTCCAAATCATTGATTTGAGTCCCAGTTTCCT